CCCCTCACCGGAAACTCAACATATTTGATTCAAAAACCTGCTATCTTCGAGCGACAAAAGACTCATACCTTCGACATCCTCAAGAGATAGAGAGTCACGCAAAAGCATCTGCTAATATCATCCCGCTTGCATAACAGCCCCTACACGCATTTGGACGTAACTCGACCAAATATGCCAAGCTACCGTTGTAGAGCATGAAGATAAGAAGGAAAGGTAGCGACATTATCTGTGCAATCGTCGCGTCCTCAAGAGCCAAGACGTCAACTTCACTACTGATCACCTGCGTGCGACTATGGAAAGCAGGGACGGCAGGGGGTTCGCATGACGACTTGGGCGAAGAGTTTTCAATTCTCATCGGCTTCAGGGTCCGGGGTTTAACACGAAGAACGTCGAGGTCGTCCTTGGCGATGCCAGAGAGCATGACGTAAAGGCTGTCCATGACCATGTTGACCATCAGGGACCAAAACCAAACATGCCTGGGACTCACGTCACCCTGCCTAACGGGATGTCAGCGCGACCCTCGACAGCAGCGTGGCAGAAGGCTCCCTGATCGATTCCCAGTTTTGCCAAACAAACTTCTCGTTATAGTTCTGCTTTGCCGGCCAAGATGCCCAAAGAGAGAGACAGGGAATGACAGGAACGGCCAAAGAAGCGCGATGAACCTGAAGCACATAATCAACGATGATTCGCGTGTTTTGCTTCCACACTAGCACAGACAACTTCTGTGAGCCTGGACTGCAGGGCGCATGGAACATTCCCGGTTTATCCAAACCGGCAAGAACATTAAACTCCTATGAACTCCTGTTGGCATCAATGCTGGTGAGGTGCACAAAGTGCGTCACGACTGCCTGCGACCAAAGAACGGAGTCTTCGGCTGTCAGGAACCGCGGCATAACTTCACCCTTTAATGTCCAACTGTGCGATGAATTTCGGCTGCAATGGTTTAGAGTCTTTGCATTACAACCGCCCTCCTCCCTTCTGCTTCCACACCCAGGCCTGCATCGCACTCATAAGGGTGACCGGGAGGATGTAGGCCCACTCACTGTACAAGGCCTGGGCGGGCATCCAGCGCCTGAATTCCTAATTGCCCAAAATCTACAAAAGCCATCTGGTATATGCTCTACTTGGCAAAGACAAAAGGACTGTTCAAGAAGCCCTTGCAACGCGGGCAGGTGACCTCAGAGGTCTCCAACTTCATGACGTTCCGCCTGGCCGGAGTGAGAGACCCTAAAGGGAGGGAGCGGCTCTTCTTTGAGGTGCGTTGCGACAGATCAGTCATACGAGTCAACTCCAAGACCCCGCAAAATCATGCTGCGGCGCTCGGCGATCATGGCCGGCATGGTCTTGACCTGGTCGATGGAGCAGGCCATCAAGACCTCACATCTCCAGCGAGCACTCTCAAAGCGCATACCCTTGCAAAGAGAAAGAGCGAACGAGACACGATCAGACAGACCCACACGTTCCCCGGCGAAGTCGCTTCGCACTTACTGTCCGTAAGCGCGCCGCAAAGAAGATGAAGCCAACTTGGAACTGCTGACTCTTCTGGCCAATGTCCTTATCTCAGGCACATTATAAAAACTTCAGACAATGTACCACCTAACGAGATCCTGAGTTCGCCATCAAGCATGCCAAAGCTCACTCTGTGTAATCTGAACAGGGACATTGCAAACTTACCTTCGTCCGTCTACTTCATGAAAGAGATTTGCAGTTTAAACATTTCAGCTGGGAAGAGCCAGACACACTTGGGACTTCCATAGCCCCGTCGACAATTCGAAACTGTGTCCCCCCTGAATTTGCCCCAAGTTTTTGTCCGGGCTCATAGAATGCCAGGCCCAGGATCACGGCTTTGGCGACAGCCTGTAATTCTGCAGGTATCTGTAGCGCGCTCAGTACTTCCAGTTCTTGCTGCGGGGACACTTCTGAAGCTCTTGGTCCGAAAGTGCTCAGAGAAGAAACCAGCACCGGCAAAGCAAAGACCCACGAGAGATTGACCCAGATGACAGCCCCTGCCTACTCTAAGGCCCGACACTCTGGCAATCTGGGACCCTGAGCCACACCAACCCCGAACTGGCCAGCGCCCATACCTTCGGCTACTAACTCCCTGACAGTTCAAACAGTACGGCATGCTATGGCGGCTATGCGACCCGATTTGCAACAGCAAGCCATGGACAGGCCCGGCATGATTTTCTTGCATGGGCATCAGCAGATGATAGATAATGGACGAAAACCCTGCATGAACTATACGATGGGGATGGCGATTGCTGGGCCTGGGACGCGGCTGGGGCAGTACGCCGTGAATCTAAACCACCTCATACAACATAACTTTAACCATCTACTTGCCGAGCAAAGGACGGGACGGCAGTGCATCCTGCTGTACTCATCTCATGTCTGGCAAGTGGCTGCAGCCAGGTCCATCATGAGAGTCATGTTTCGGTACCTGCTCAGACTCAGATAGACGTGTTGTCAATTTAACAATGGTTTAATGTGGTCTGCAAGGCTCGCATCTCGCAGCCAGCAGCTGATGATTAGTTGTAACAAAGTCATGTCGCGTACTCGGAGATACAAGTGAGAGTCCGGGGCAAGAGATGTGCCGCATTAACATTTTTGCAGCTGGGCTCTGAGTGTCAGCAGCATTGACCTAAGGAGCACATATAATATGTAGCTAATACAAATATCTATATATATATATACACACACACTATGTATATATATATATAATAGTAATAACAATAATAGCAGCAATAAAGCAATAATCATGATAATAGTAAATATAGGCTGCATCGCCCTCGTTTGCCCCGCTTTCTCTTTCGCACAAGCCTGCATCCCTTCCATGGGCCAGTGCATCCATGCCAAACCATGATAACATCCATGCTACCAGCCCATCCATTGGCCAGTGCATCCATGCCCAAACCATGATAACGTCCATGCTACCAACCCATCCATTGGCCAGTGCATCTATGCCCAAACCATAACGTCCATGCTACCGTGCATTCATGCCCAAACCACGTTAATGTCCAAGCCACCAGCCCATTCATTGGCCAGTGCATCCATCCCCAAACCTTGATAACGTCCAATGCTAACATGCGGACCTGCCATGCTTTGTCAACACTGTTCGAAGCCGTGCTGAAAGAACACATTGTGCAGAACCTGGATGCCATGTTCGTTGCTGCTAACATGCGAAAGTATGGGCCCAGCCATGCCTTTCGCACTATGTTGGAAAACAAACTGGGGCCAACGACGGTGATGTACCCAAAATACAGTCTATCATACTATGTAATAGCCACGAAGGCCTCAGCTTGAACTGACGCCACGCCACGGCCCGAACCTGAGCTGGGTTGAGGCGGATTGAAGCGAGGGCGAAACTGCAGGAACCTTGCGCTTCCTTGAAGATGACACATGGGGGGGGGGACACAGGGCTCTTCCGTTCTCGGGGCTTTGGCTCGAGTTTACCCTGCTTACCTCACGCAAGCTCACGGGTGTGGCCTGCGAACGGAATGGCACGCCGAACTTGCCTCGGTCGTTCTGTGTGGCAGCTTGCAACTTCACCGGACAACAGTGGCATTGCTCAGTTCATCCGCTGAACTGCAACATCTAATTGCTATGTCTGCAAATGTCAAAACTCGTGCGGGGGCTTTCGGGAAGAAAGTTGAGGCGGCTTAGAGTTTAGTAGGGTTACAAGTAGGTGCTGGGCGTTTGGGGTTAAGACTATTTAAGTGGTTCAAGGATTTCGACTCTCACCCTCGCACAGAGCAGGCAAGGATCCTCACAAGTCCGTCACGGATTCAAGGTGTGAGGGTTGTTGCTTGTGTAGTGTAGCGCTTCAGCGGCTAAGGGTTTTGGGGTTCGGGTGGTGTTGGTGTCTACGGTTTTTGGTTTGGGGAAGTTGTAGGCTTTAGGGTTTAGGAGAGCGACGGGATATGGGGGTCTTTCCAAGCAAGATCCGGGCTGTGTAAATGCTTGGGCCGGGACAACAAAGACTGTGCGTACTTGCATCGTTTTTTGCTGTCCGACTTTCCCGGTTTGACAAACTGACTGCGGGGAGCCATGGCTTCAGTTGTTCAGCGGCCGCGTTCGTTCGAGACAGTTGCCGAAGAAAGAAGAAAGGAGAGAAGCAAACCTCCTGAACTGATCAAGATTTGATTAGATTCGCTGTCCAGGGCAGACCTCATGTGGTGGCTTGAGCCTGTCGCGACGATGTCTGCTACTGCGCAGGCTGACGGTGCAGTCGGGCGGCTATTGCGCAACGGTGGCATAGTACCAAACACCTGGCTGTAGACACACGGAGGTTCGTGCCACCCGCAACGCCCACCCAGCGGCTGGACCAGACTCACGGCTCAAGCAAGACACATCAAGTTACCGGTTGGGCCATCTATGCTTTCTACCCAGAACGGAGGCCGGAGCCTGCATGGGCTCGCGCATCGCTCGGAGGATCTCCATGGCACTGCCACGATCCTGTCTGGAAGATGTTCCTTCTTGTGTACGCTTCTATAAGGTTTGAGCTCTTGAAATGAGGTCTTCGAGGCTTGACATCGATCCCCGGAGGACGGTGTACTTGACTCTGACATCTTGGCGGATGCGGACCATGGACAGCACGATTCATCTTCGCGAGACAAGGGCCCCAACTGGCCCGGAAAGAGCGGAGCGTCCTCGTTGAGGTGCTTGGCCACCTCTTCTTCGATTATAGGGCTCCGCACTGCCTGGAAGTGCCTCGAGAGAGCTTCTGCTCTGCCCTCGTCTCTCAAGGACCAAGTGACTGGAGGTGGCCTCAAGCCAAGGCGCCGCACGAACTCGTCTTCCCTGGCACCCTTCATGCCGGGTGTAATCAGGTCCATGATGAAGTCTGTGGGATTCCTGGGAAGGCTGACAAGGCACTTCGAGGTGATCGAACAGCCGGCTGTTTCCTTCTTGTACACAGCCACAGACAGACACTCGATCTAGCCTTCTGGACTCAGCTCTACGCCAAAAGTACGAGCCCTGATCCAGCCGATGTCTGGATCTCCACACAAGGCTTCGCCGAGCGACCGCTTGAACGGAACGGGACAGCCGACCTGCGCCACAAATCCATAGAGGCGCAAACCGCAGCAGCATCAGGCCATGCGTAGATGATGACAACGGGCATGCGATGATACAGATACGTTTGAAAACCTTCCCTTTCCCAGCACTTCGCTGGAGCTCTTCCACCTTCGCCGAATAGTCAGCCAAATCTCTCATCGGTCCTTCAGCATTGCACATGCGCGCACAGTTTTCCCACTTCGAAGACCACTGACACAAGATTCGTGTGGCATTCATGCATTTGGCAAAACATGGGTATTGCACACGCCATATCTACATCCAGCACAAAGTCTGTGACCTTGACAGCTCTCGGGGGTCCTTGGTAGACCACCCGACCTGGCCTGGAAGTGAGGAGGATCAGTTCGTCGAAGAGCCTCTCAAGCTCTCACGATGAAGGGCAGTCTGTTCGGCACTCGTGAAACCAGAGCATTGCCTGGTACGAGTACCTTTCATCCTGGATTTGTTTGGCTGGGGACTGCCGAAGCACGTTTGAGCCAAGCTAAACTTCCTCACCTCATGACAAGACATCCCGCCCTGCCTGGCGACCTCTCTTCGTGGCTGGTGGATGGACATGATGATCAACACCTGGGCACATGAAGAGCACTCTCCAAAAACTTCCTTCGCCCCGCCAGTGCCGCGCTACAGCACTTGCTCGAAAGTGATGACAAGGATCGGAGTATCTGTGTGCGAGCCATCGCATATAGCCTCAGCTTGAGGCAGCAGGTTTCCGCTTTGTTGGGAAAACAAAACCGATCCGAATTTCTGAAGTTCTCGACCAACAGAGGCAAGCAACGCACGCAAATCTCAGCATCGGTGGCAGAAAGACCCGAGGTCGGCTCGTCGCAGAACATGACCCGCGCCTGAACTCTGCTTCTGCAGGACGATTCGCAAGAGGAGCAAGCACCAGCAGCATACATAAATCTCGCAAGCCTCGATGGCCACACCATCTCAGTAACCAATACTTACCTCGGACCTGTAGACTCTAGACGATAAAATAGAACTCAACACTGAGAAGTTCGGGGAAGCCCTATCGAGCGAGCTTTGCCGATGGTTCTCGAAGGTCCTTTCCCTTCTAGCAGGTATCTCCAGATTGTCGCGGTGCGATCGAACCGATCTTTTGTGACGAGCTGAAGCCCGAGCATTCGTAGTACATGTGCACAAAGGGAGCCAACAGCTCTCCACAGTCAATCTGAATCCATGCAGCCCGGCAGCTCCGCAAGCTACTCCCTTTACCAAGGAAAGCCGCCGCCGTTGACCTGCAAGGGCTTGGTGGACCAAGAAGGAAGCACTTATGCAAAGTGCTTCTCACTCGAGCGATCATCGGAAAAGCATACTGTGGCCTCCGGAAATGCCGCGGGAGCCCTGCTTGGGATCGCCGATGTAGGAGTTCCTGCTGCAGAGGCATGCAGGCCCGAGCTTTCAGCGAGTCCGCTAGCTGGAGCGAGTATTTTTATTGTCTATT